CCCTAACCACCACATGCCTCAACCCCACCCCAGCCCCTGTAAAAAAAAACCTCTCCCTACCCGGGCCACAGTGCTGCACTCTTTTTCCTGTTTGGAGGCCACCTGGCAGATCATCCCTGCAATAACAGCTTGTTGTGGTTCTGTTCTGGTCTTCATTTTCAACTCTTATCTGACAGGGGGTATTCTGCTCACCACCTTTGCTTATAATAAAGTAAACAAAAGCCAGAGGCAGAGAGGGAGAAGGAGGGAGAGAGAGACAGAGATCCTATACATTACCTCTGTAAAATACCAATACCAAAGCTGCAGGCCCATGTGCACCGTGATGAAGTCATCAGCCAATCAAGTCTCCAGTTGTACTTCCAGCCTCAGGGAACACACGGATGGAGGTACAGTCTGTGTTTAAGGCTGTACCTTAACTACCAGTCTAAAGTTGTAAACACGCTCCATCCCTTCTGGGGGTCATCTTTTTATAGCAACAATAATAACAATTACAATTTAGTGAGCACTTACAATGTGCCCAAGGGTTAAATGGTCTCCATGTGAGTTTTCTACACAACTACTTATCTTACAGATGAGAGGCATGAGCCACGAGACATTCATAACTTACCAGGGTCGTAAAAGTAATGTCAGAACTAGGATTCAAACCCAGGACCATAAACCTCCAGATGTTGATCTTTTAAGCATTAAACAAAACAACCACCGCTTCCTGCCTTGCAAGAGCAAGGTCCCAAGTTCGATCCCCAGTACCAAAACAAACAAAACAACCACTTCGCAAGAATCTGTTCCCTAACTGACCTCTTACAATCTTAGTGAGAAAGGAAAACACAGCTCGTGTGATTCTGTCCCACCAGCCAGTTTTGGCACTGTTATCTAAAGAGCCAAGGGAAGATCTCTAAAACTGGTCCCCTCTTCCCCACCCCACCCTAAGCCCTCATTGTTAACACACAACAAAGGATTGGGATTATTCTTGTAGCTCCCTCCCACTGGAAATGGTGCCCATCCCAAAATATAAATAACTTGAAACAGGTAACAGAGGAAGAGTAAAAGTAAAGTATATCAAAATAAAGAAATTTGGGACTATAGTTGGGTTATAATTTATACAGAAAAAAATGATGATTCCAAAGGCACTGAAGATATTAAAATAAATTCTATAAGTTTAGAACATTTTGTACAAATATATAACTTTCCAGAACATTGTATCCAAAGCCAAAACATAGATACACGTTTTTTATTTGCATTTTAATTAATATATAAGTATATGCATTTATGAGGTGTACTGTGATATCTCAATACATATAATGTGTAATTGTGAAATCAGAATAATTAGCATTTCCATATCTGCAACATTTGTGTCTGGAGGTTTCAAGGTCTCCTCTTTTGGTTCTTTCAGAATACATTATGTTACCCAACCAAACTAAAGTATTCTAACACACACAACTGTATTTTAGCAATAGTACCACTGAGTGCTTTGAGGAGTGATGCATAGACTCTTCACTTTGATTTCCACCCTCCACAGTTAGGCGTAACCTCAACCCACAACGGTAAAAATTGAGCACTGAGGGACTGGCAGCAGACAGCAGAATTTAAGCCTGGCCCGAGGATATTCATCAGCACAGATCCGACCTTCTTGTGGGCTGTGCTTACTAAATGTAAAGTCCTGCAATTATCATTTCATTATTAGTTCATTTGGAGACAGAAGTGTGCCTCTAGCCTGGGATTTTTGCTCCGACCCTATGTCATCGGTCTCCTCTCTGTCCACACCTGTGGGTCACGACTGCTGGGTGGACCACGAGTGTTTATAATCATTACCACAGCCATCAGCATCACGGCCCCTATGGGCTACTACACTCACGCGTATCACGGCTACACACAGATTCCAGATTGCAAAGTCCCCATGTGCGCACCAACTCCTTCACCCCCACAACAGCCCTGCCGGTGACAGGGATGGGTCGCTCAGTCTGATTGTCATGATTTGAACGTGGGGCCCAGGTGAATTAACAGCAGAGCATGAACTTTAACCCCCAGCTCCCATCCTTTCCACTTGTCTGCACGGTAACAAAGTCATGGAAAAAGGTCATCAGAAAGGTGAGCTTTAAAAGGGAAAAAAACATCTTTGAAATTGGAAGAGTAGAGGTTTGAAAAGCAAGTTGTTGTGACTTGGCTATAGAACGTCCCCCACAGTATCCTGTGTTCAGAGATGGGGATTTATTTCTAAGTGACTGGATCACAGAGTGTTATCCTCATGGATGACAGAAGAGTTCAGAGGCCAGTGTGCTATTAGGGCCCAGGGCCTCCTGGGAGGAGGCGGTCACTGTGGGCGTGACCTGGAAGGGCTCATGTCCCTCCCGGGCTCCTCCCCTCTCTGTCTCCTTCCTGGCCACCATGAGGTGAGCAGCTCTCCTCCCCAAGACCCTTACACCATTCCCTTCCTGCCTTGGAGCCAGTTGACCATGGACTGAATCCTCTAAAATCTGTGTGTGAGCCGGAATAAACCCCTCCTCCTTGAAGTTCTCTGTTCCTGTCTAAGATCAGAACACACAGCAGGGCAGGAAAATCCGGGAGTGACCCAGCACCTCTGCATACCGCTGGCTTCTTCTTAGGATGCTCTCCTCCCTGCTGTTCCTACTCCGGCCCCTCGGCATAGACACCCAGTAAATTCTTGTGGGATGAATGAATGAGCTTGCGAACAATGCGTTAAGATGTATTGAATCAGAACCAAACAAATAAATGGCTGAATTTCAGGTAGCAGCTGTCAGAAGAGGAAGAGTTCTGGGAAGGAGAGTCAGATACTTGCCACAGCCCTTCGTGTACACTGAGCCCTGCCCCAACGTGAACACCCGCCGAAGCCAACCTCTAAAAGGACTGGATTCCAGCAAACAGCTTTTGTGGGGCACAAGAAAAAGTAACGCCCAGTGAGCACTATAGCTAACATGTGGGTTAATTCGGGGATTTTTTAATGCCAACAGCCTGTGTATAAGGGATTTGTTTGATTGCCTGTCATGTTTGTTGGGCTGAGATGACAACGAAACGAAAAGAGAAGAAGTGAAACCATTTCAGTCTTACAATAGCGCTCCCCACCCAGCAGTGCAGATCTCTTTCTTCTGTCACCTTGAATGAACAAAGTCCCAACTTGATGGCGGCCAAAGTAGCGTGAAAGGACTTAAGGACCTTTCTAATAGCAGGCTTCAGGCAGAGGGGCTTGGCGCGGCTTTCAAAGAAGTATTCAACTCAGCACCGCCCGCCTCCTCTGGAAGGCTCCTTGTCCCTGGGAAGGGAGCCGCAGGAAGATGCAAGGCAGAAAAGGTCACCCTTTGAGAAGATCACCGTGACAAACGAGGTTCGACTCCCAGCGTCATGGGATAGGCCACTTGTCCTTCCTAGGCTGGGTGAAGCCCGGTGAAGATGTCACTCAGATGCTGATGACTTCATCGTCACTTGGTGAAAAGCCCTGACAACCGCCTGGTGGAAGGGACCCTTTCCATGACAGAGCTAAACTGCAGTGTCTCCCTGCAGTGTGGCCATTCTGAATTTGACATAAAAATGAGTAATGACCTGTTCGTCGCCACTAAATACCCCAGACACGGCCCTCAGATAACAGATTATTAGGCAAAATACTAAGAAAAAAAAAGCAAAACCTCAGAGCCAGAAGCTGAAAGATCCTTAGCAGTGGGAATTGTGTCTTACTAGCTAGAATCTCTCAAAAAAGTTCATAATTACATTAAATAAATTAGAATATTCTGATGCAAATTATTTGTGGTTTTAGACTTTAGCCAACCCTGAATAAGAGACAAAATACATACTTTGAGAGGGGGAAAAAAAGCCATAGGGTTGCTTAAAGTGTAGTTGGACAGTTACAAATAAACATGTGCTTGAACCAGCATCTTACAACTCTAAAAATTTTAATGAACTTAAAGCATCACGTCTACGATTTTAGAAAGGGAGGAGGGAGAATTGTACCGCAACCAGACAGCAAGTATCCTGGCTCTGCTGCAAACTTGATCTTGCTGTGGCCTTAGTTACCGTTTCTTTTTGCCGGCAAAATGAAAGGGCATGAAGGAGACGATAAAAGCATCCAAGGTTATATTCGCATAGAACACAGAAATCCTAAATGCTGTACTGGTAACTAAAGGCCAACAGAGGGAAGGAAACTTGGAAGTTTTGTATTATAGGATCCTAACTTACTCAATGTAATACTGCTTTGAAAGGTTAAAGAAATATCACACACATACACACACACACATACAGAGTTTGACCAAATGTGTCCACACTTCAGGAAAAGAAAAGCTTGTATAAATATTTTACCACATTTTTTTGGACATCATGAGTTTGATACAAGTTACCTTTGGCCTCTACAATGACAAGAGGTGCTCAGGGTGGTGGCCCTGAGCTCGCAGACATTTATTAGCACAGCGAACGGCTGCGTGCATACACACACACACATACAGAGTTTGACCAAATGTGTCCACACTTCAGGAAAAGAAAAGCTTGTATAAATATTTTACCACATTTTTTTGGACATCATGAGTTTGATACAAGTTACCTTTGGCCTCTACAATGACAAGAGGTGCTCAGGGTGGTGGCCCTGAGCTCGCAGACATTTATTAGCACAGCGAACGGCTGCGTGGGTGACCTCGGTCATTGAGATGGCTGCACGTGTGTTTTCAGTGTCTTCTCTAGGGGCCGGCAGTGTCGTGGGTTTTCTGTGATACACAACACTCTCCAGGGTCCCCATATGAGGGTAACGCCTTCAGTTGAATTTTGTCCTGAAGTGCGTACACATTTTTTGCCGGGCTCTGTATACTGAATTTCAAGGTAAGACTTCAATTAAAACTAAAGCACTGTGTTGATTTTTTTTTTAAACTGAGAAAATCCCCCACTCTCAGCTAAAAGCGCTGAAGTGTCCAAGGTCACTCAGAGCTGATATTAAAGGCATTTTCTTACAGGAGAAATAAAAAGGAGTACATAACACTCTCTATAAAGTACTCTTGCCGTAAAAGCCAAACCTGGACTTAATAAAGCCTTTAGACTTACCTAATAGCTTAGAAGAAAAGCAAGGGTGAGAGGATCATGATTTGAAAAACAAAGTGGGGATACAATGAGCAAAATCTAGGCCTCGGGAGCTGCTACAGGATCCGTGTTTCACTTCAGCCTTCCCTTCTGGCAGTGCGGACAGAGCCAACTATGCAAGTCCCCCGGATTCCAGGCATGGCCTCCCGCAGCCACACCTGCGGAGGGCTTATCTTCTTGTCCGCCTCTGCCCACAATCAGCTCCCTTTACTTCTCATGGCTCTCCCCGGGTTTGTCCCACGCCATCTACTACGGCTGCGTGATCCTCCAGAGACCGAGCTGAACAGGATTCACGCAGGACTGACCAGGAGCTGGCGTTACTGGATAATCCCAGTTGAGTCAGCCGCGGTGTGGTCTCCAACCCTTCCCCTGAGTAAGGAGCAGTGGGTGGACGTCTGGGCTGGACGACAAACACATCGCTCACTTTTGCAGGCGTGCCCAGGTCTCTCAGAGCTACGCTCATGCGGCTAGGGCCTTGACAAAGGTTACCTGACCTGCACTCCGCGCACAGAGACCCCACCGGACAGGGATCTGCGTCCTTTCCTCTCCCGTCGATATCTTAGGCTCCCCCGATCCTCTCACTCACTTCCCGGTCACGTAAGGCTCTGCCATCGCTGCATCCTTGTCTCTTCCCTGCTCACATTCCCGCAGGAGCTAAGAAGAACTCCTACCACAGTTGTCTGGCTGACTATCCCTGGAGAATCCTTCCTTTTTGAAGTTACTTTGTATTCTCCTTCAGCCGCTATATACAGATATTCTTCGGAGGCAGATTTACAGCTGGCCTCCTTTTCTTCTTAACCCAGAATACCACGTGGAATACTTCTTAAATTGCCCCCGTTCCCCTCCTTTTCCTCGATGATTTGAAATTTGAGAAAACAGATTCTTTTTTCTTTTGGGGGCTATAAGTAAGGAAATGTCCAATCCAAACAGCAGATGTCAAGTTCCATTTTTATAAAGGCTTTGTCTTTTTATAAAACCCTCCAAGTCATAGGATAATGACGCGATGATTTTGTCTACTACTCTTGGGTAAAAATGCCTCTGGCCATTCTTCTGTCCAAAGAAGAGAGAGCCGGCAGAATACCTCCGTGATGGGTGATGGTCTAAAAGGCAGAAACAGAATGCGCTCCAGTAATGACAGCTGAACGGCAACAGGCCTGACCTCTGATCCCTGAGCCGCCGGCAGGCCACGCCCCTCCCCTCTCCTACGAAATCCCCACCCCTTCCCGGGACAGTGGCTCAGCTCAGCCAAACCGCGAATCCAATGGGAAAAATTATAAAATTGTAGGTGGAGAGGCAAGCAAAGAGTGAGAATTTTGATTCTGAGCAACTTGAACTCCACAGAAACAAGAAGAAAGTTAAAATTCCTGAAACCACACTGCTGATGAAACGTCAGGGAACAAAAGAATGGTTAAATGTTGGACATCTACTGAGAAAGCCTGGAAGCATTTACCTAGAAGCAGAACTCTACAGAGGGCTTCATCTTGATGTTCCTTCCAGCCCTGTGAGTCCACCAATACTGGCGTTTTTGTTCTTTATTTTTTTTTTTTTTTTTGCTCTCCTTAAAATGTGAAATTTAAAAGCACGTGATGAATGTTTCACAATCCTATAGAAAATAGGTCAAGTGAATTCATTTTGGTTTCTTTTCATTTACATTATAATTAACTTAATTCTTTCTAAAATAAAATCAATTATAAGAGCTCATCTTTCTTAAATTCCATAAATTAATTGAATTTTTATAAGAAAGTACCACTTTTATCATTGCTTTTTTAAACCCAATGAAATCCCACACCTCCGAAGTTACAACGAGAAAAGGATTGTACAATAGTATTGTGAAGTGACTGTCTCTCCCCAGTCCCCTCAAATGTCACCACCAAAGTTTCCCAACCTAGTCCTGCTGTATAATAAAGAGACTCTTTGCCCCGGGTGAGCTCCTTGAACTCGCAGAATGAGACTCAGGCCAAGCTTGCAGACTAATAAGTCACTACCTCTCAAACACACCTGAAAAGAGCGGGGAAATGGTCGGGCCTGTGGTAGACTCCAAAGGCGGTATATGTGGGCCTTGCACACACTGGGGTGACTTCTCCTCCTCCATTCGGCTGGGTCCGTGTCAGCAGGAACCTCGAGTCGAAACCAGCACCCGGGAAGCGTCTGTGTCCACCAGGACGTTGCTTATTCCCCACGCGTTAAAACAACAGCTGTGTTCTCCTCTTTTGCTTGTGTTTTACCATGTCTGCCCCCTGGGTTGGTTTTCCATTGCTTTGACAGAATCGCTAAGATATTTATCCCTTGTATTTCTGGAGGCTGGGAAGCCCAAGGTCAAGAGGTGGCACTTGGTAGGGGCCTTTGGTGGGTGAGGACTCTGCAGGGCCCTAAAGCGGTTCAGTATATCATACCTGGGGGGCTGCGTAGAACAGGCAGAGTCAGACCGGCTTCTATAACAGACCCACTAGCAGGGTGCCCACTAAGCCGTTCATCCATTAACTGGTGGGTTAATCATTTAACGAGGACACAGCCCTGCTGACCTAATCATCCCTCAGAGGCACTGCCTGGTCCCCTCAGTTTCTTGCAGCCAGCCTGAGTCTTTGAGGGAGCACTGAAACCGTGGTGCTCCCTCCAGTCTTCCTTCAGTTGTGGCTGAGTTTTCCAACACACGCATGGTGAGATGAGAAAAACCCAGGGGACTTTCCTTGCTGAGGTTCATGGTGGGGTCAGGAGGAGCGTGCTTTGGTGATTTTGGTGCCAACTCGCCTTGGGTTCCTTTGCTTAACTGAGACAGAAATCACAACCAGCAAAGTGAAACTCTGCTAGCAACAGCCCTGTGCCGCTGGCTGACACCAGCTGATGCTGAATACTGCCGCCCGGCACCGACACTTACTGGCCTCTGCCACTCTCGGTCACAGCCCTCTGATGCCATCTTGTGCTGGAACCATCAGTGGGCTCTTCCGGTTGCTGCTCTTGGACCCTGAGTAGATTTACAGGACCTTCTAAGTACAGGATACCTGGGAAATAAATCATGAGCAGATTTACAGGGCCAGCAGAATGAGGCTTTATTTGAACGGACTTGTGCTGCAACGCGGGGCAGTCAGTGCACAGAGGAAGCCCTCCTAGACCCCTCAGAGAAGTGGGGGTGGGGGTGCTGCTTGTATATCCTATTTCCCCAAAATAAGACCTAATTAGAAAATAAAGCCTAGCGTGATTTTTCAAGATGCTCATAATAAGCCCTACCCCAAAATTAAGCCCCAGTTAAGATCACCATTTAGTACACCCATTGCAGTACATGACAGATGTATTGAAGTATAAAATACTAATATTAATATCTAATTAAATATAAATATCATCGGCACTCGTAGTTCAGTGATAATGTAAATTATAATGAAGTATCTGTAAACACCCAAGCGGGCGCCTTTGGATGACAGGTAAACACCTACATAAACAGGTGAACTAGAGAGTCGTTGCCAAACGACTGATCAGAGTGTAGAGGCGACGCGTGAACGGGATTGAGGGTGGATGAATTTCTGTCTCTTCTGTGCGGACTGACAGTCTTCACTGCCATCATCTCTGTTGCCACTCCTGTCTTGTAAGACTTCGACGGATGCCTGATTTAGTGGAAATTTGACAAATCCCGGCCTGCAAGAGGTCATCACCGGAGTAAAAGAAGTCACGGGCAAAATCATGGACAGCTGCGTTGTTCACGCTCTCACACGGGCTGCACGGACAGGAATGCTGGGTACGGGGAGCTCTACCGCTGGACCTGACGAGTTGGGGACAATGGTTCTGCAGGAAAGGGAGTTGCAAGAAAGTGAGGCCAGAAGTCAGGGTTTGCAGCGTTATGACGACATTCCAGAAGAACATGGCCTGGCTATCTTGGCATAAAAGTAGGATTCTGTGCGTGAACAAAGGAATGAGTACAGATTGTTGTATATGAATAAACATAGATTACGGCAAGTGAAAAAATAACATTGCCCCTAAATATAAGCACTAGGCATCTTTTGGAGCAAAAATTAACAAATATAAGACCCAGTCTTATTTTGAGGGAAACACAGTAGCAGGTGCAGGCCTGTGATTCATGTCCGCTGGCTGGTCCAAGAGGAAGCCTGAGGGTTGGTCCAAAATGGCCCAAACGCAAGCCTTCTGATTGGACCCCACTGATTGGTTCAAGCTCACTTCCGCTGCTCCATTCGTATTCGAGCAGAACAGAACAGATGAGACACCAGACGGGAGCTGCCTGACTGACAGCTGACACTTCTTAGAGAAAAATGATGGGACTGAAATGGGAATCTTCAGCGAGGCCAGCTGTGTTAATCAGAGCTTATCCGGGTTCGGGGAAGCGGGGGTGCTGATCTTGAAGTGGGGGCCCTGTGGCTGAGAGCCCCACTGCACACCCGCCAGATAGCCTGGAGGTGGCCGCTGAGGACCCGGGAGAACACAGAGGCAAGCTGTCCCCGTCCTTCCTTGGTAGGGGAACTGAGGCAGAGCAAGAGAAAGTGCGGCAAAGCGAGAGGCCTGGTGGCCCTGACCAGGCCCCGCCCTGTCCAGCGATTACAGAGTCGGGTGCTTCTCCTCTTTTTCCCTTTTATCTGCCACTGGAAAGGGATCAACCCTGGTAGATGATGTGACTCATCCACTCCCGAGAGAGGCTTCTTTCTTCCTGCTTCCTGGTTCTGTAACTCATGTTCCGAACCAGGGTAGAAGTGACAGCAACAGTTAAAATCTGGACTTTAAAAAAAAATGCATTACTGACGTAACTACAGCTGCAGGAAAATGTCTGCCAGAAGCCAGACCTTGGTGCCTTGACAGTGGAAGACACCGTCCTCTGTTCCAGGCTGCCGCTGCAGACGCAGGTGTGCAGTGCAGTAAGGCTCAGGAGGCAGCTGGGCCCCACGGGGCTCCCGTCTGCGGTGGGCAGGGAATCCGAGGGCTCCGTCCGACTTGGGCACTCTGTGTCCAGGCAGGGCCTCTTCCTCCTTAAAGGAGCAGCCAGCTCATGCAGGAGAACTCGGAAAATGACAGCTAAGGAAGGAAACTCCTGCACTGTAAGGAAAGCAGGGCTGGGTGCCTTTGCAGGCTGAGGGGACAGCACAGACCAAGACAGTGAGCTCCCCACATTCACCCCGTGACATTGTACGCACACATCAGCTCCGAGTCGCTCGCCTCTGTGAGCCCCTGAATGCTTATCTGCCCGGTGGAGAGACTAAGCCCTGCGTGGCTGTGACAAGAGTTACGGTGAGGATTGAATAAAGACTAGCAAAGGGCTATGTAAATGGGGAAGCCCCACCTTCAGCAGGAAAGAGAAGTGTGGGGTGGGACAACAGGCCTGCTGCAGCTCAGCAGTGACAGAGCTGATGGCAGGAGCAACCTGCGAGCGGCTTTGCCTTGGGTGAACTCAGCTTGTCCTCCCCGCCGTTTGCCTCCTCTGTTAAACTGGTTTTGTGAAACCAGGAATAGCAAAACTCTCTCTGGCTCTGATATTTGACTCCTAAGTCTGCTTTCAAGCTAGTCACCGGTAGCAGGACATCTTTGTTCATCCTAACCTTCCATTTCCTGCTCTCTGCTGTCCTCGCCCCACGCACGGGTCACAGATGTGAAGAAGCAGCCGTCCTGGGGCTCAGCCCGGGCCTGGGCTGCGGGGCAGCGCACAGCCCTGCGTCCCTCCCAGGGCCAGCAGGAGTTCTGGGCAAGGCGGGGCAGTTTGGTTTTGAGGTGCCGGGATGAAAGGCGTCCGGCGAGCGGAAGGCTCGGCCATTCATTTATTAATTACAAACATAATTGAGGGTTTGTTCGGAAGCGTGAACCCTTTGAAATTACTTTCCGTCACACAGCAATGACACAAAAGAATCAGATATCCTGCTCAGGCTCCTTTCCCGCGGCACAAGACGTCTTCTTCCGGAACCCGAGATTCTCTTCCGATCCAGCTGTCCTTTGAGGAGTCTGGTGTATTCGTCTGTGTCTGAGTGCGTTTAATGTCTGCTTTTCATAAAAGAAAATCTGTGCCAGGCCAAATAACCTTTTTGTGGGCGTCCATCTGACCCTTTCCTAATAAATGGACAATGGAAAGATTCCTCGGACAGATTAGAAAGACACCTGAGACTAATACCCACCTGCTGTCGTGGGTCACGCCTCTGGGTCATCACGGAAGGGAGGAAGCAGGCTGGCGTACTGATGTGGTTCTGATCAACAACAGTGTGCTGGCCCGGGGCACTTCGAGATTGACCAAGAGGAAACACACGTTGCACAATGACAGAATCTTGTTGGTACAGTTGTCAGAGGAGGGAACTCCCACAGCAAAAGCCATAAAGCCTTCTGGGGCAGTCCGGGCAGCTCAGTCCTCCACTGCCAGGGAGCAGAGAGGAGCCCAGCCTGGCCCCAAACACAAATGGGACCATGAACTCCAGCTGCAGCTTCACCCAGAACCGCTCGGCCTCCCCCCATGGGACAGGAGGTGGCCGGAGCTGGCCTGGGGGCTTCCCCCGGGACCCCAGCGTCCAAGGCGGCGCAGGGGGTTTCCGAGTCTCTCTTTCCTTCCCCAGGCCGAGCTGTCCACCCCGGGGAGGGTCTTGGGGATCCGAAAGGGGTGGGCCCCTGCTGGGCGGAAACGGGAAGGAGACCATGCAGAACCTCAACGACCGCCTGGCCTCCTACCTGGACAAGGTGCGCGCCCTGGAGGCGGCCAACCAGAAGCTGGAGAGCCGCATCCTTCAGTGGCATAAGGAGAGAGATTCCGGCGGCAAGAAAGACTACTCCCAACAGGAGGAAAACATCAGCCACCTGCAAGAGCAGGTAAGACGCTGGCTGGGAGGCCCATGACCGATCCCAAGGCCACATTGCCAGGGAACCCTGGGGAGGAAAAGTCCGTACACAAGATAACTTCCAAGACAGTGGCCGAAGGGCTCAAAGTAACTTCTGAAGCTATCTCCTTGTTATACTTTCAAATGCACTCGGGCACATCTGGCATAATTATTCTTCTGTACGTGATATCGAAAATGAAGGTGGCCCAAGTTACAGAGGTACCATAGGCTATTTTGAAAAATAAAGCTAATTTTTCATATAATAAAAAAAAATCATAAAAGTGCCAGTCAGCCTGTCACCGTGCAATATCACTTACGAGCCAGTAACGTCGCAGCTGTGAACGGGGCCGGAGCCCTGGCTGCACACTCAGTACACAAGGCCAGGACAGAGTTTACTTTCTCGAGACCTCAGTTCTGCCCCACCTCAAAGTGCTGGCAAAGCAGGCTTGGCCGTGAACAGGAGGCCGAGGCTTACACCCCAGAAGCTGTTAGTCCACTAGCAGCTAAATCACTGCAACATCTCTGGGAGTTCCCTCTGGGGGCTGCTAGAAGACACAACAGTTCAGAGAATGGCATATTGTTACGGGAACCCCCCCAAAAAGATGAATACTGCTGGGACGGGCTGTGGAGATGTGCAGCAAGAAAATAAATAACTTGTCAACCCAAAGGCTAAAAAGCCAGGCTCATGCTTTCAGGGACAGCCAGCCAGAGGTACAGGTAACCGGGAACACTGGTGTAAAAATAACTTCCCTCTTCTATAAAGAAGTCTCCAAAGATCCTCATATGATCATGACTTTACCTACCCTAGGAAGGGCATTGCTGGCATCCAATATTTTACCATGTTCTATTGCAACACTGAAGACATGCTTTCTTGAGTGTAGGACCAATCAAGATAGTATAAATCTGTCCTTGTAATGAACCCTAATTATTGAATAATCGGCCTAATAACTGACCGCGTAATTCCCTTAACTACAGGGCAGGGTTGTCTTCACCCAAAATCAAGGTGACTCAACAAACCTCACAGTGTTTTTCGTTTAATAAAGTTGCTTCGGTCTGAGGATGGGGGGAAAAGGAGACGTTTGCAGGTGAAGAGCTGCGAATAGGACTCCCAAGCGGGACAGGAGGTTAAGGTATCAGCTAACAGGAGGCAGGAGGAAGGGCCGAGAGAGGAGGGAGCAAGTATGACCGAGAACTTCTCGCGGGCCAGGCTTCCAGCTGGGAATTTAGTCTATGTGTCTGTGCTCAGAGCTTCCTGCAAGGCTGAAACAGTTCTGTGCTGGGGGATGTTATCTCTCATGACAGCTGGGTCTGGAAACCCGAGCTCAAGAAAGGGGATCAGCCGTTCAGAGCCAGCAGCTGGAGGCAGAGGCGGGATTTGAACTGGGGTCTGTTCCCACTGGGACTGAGAAACCTTGCGCCAAGAGTGGACCCACTGATGAGGAGGGGGCCAACCTGCCTACCCTCCGGGGGCCCAGAATTCTAGGTTCTGAGCTTCCGTTGGACGCTTGCCCACTTTGTGCTCCAATCTTTTCTGAACCTTCACTTGCAGAGGTTGCATTTTCTGTTGGTTTGAAGAAAGAACTTGAACTGTGGGAGGGTGAGGTCATCTTTCCATCCTCACCGCCCTTGTTCGCAGATGAGAAAACAGCCCCAGAGAGTCCAGGCTGTCGGGAGGGGCTGGGCTGGCCCCATCCTGGTCATCACGAGATACCCCGAGCAGGTGTAGAACTCTGTTCCTGCTTCAGGATATTAGATATTACTCTAAAAGTCTAGAAAAAAAATTGACTTCTAATTGAACCCAATTGTTTTGAAAGGCGGACGTCATAGGGATGTCCTCCATAAAACTCCCTGAATGATTCTCAGGGACGCCGTATTTGGCATTGGGGTTTGTGGTGGAAAATTCTATTTTTCTGTCCCTGGCAGGAGATTCCACAGCTGGGAGCATCCATGCTGCAGTGCTAATGCACCGGCTAGATTGTAACAGAATGAACTCAGGGCCTCGGGGAGAAGCAGGCAGTGGTTACGGCACACAGTGTAAAACTGATGTCTCATATATGATTTCTCAACCCGTCTTTGTCCACTTATGACCCTGGAGGACACCTCAGAAGAGGTGGTCTCGTCATAATGTCGTATCAAGGACACCCGAAAGTGGGAAAGAGGAGTCTTACGGGTGCTCTATAGAACCGTGTTCTTAGCTCACCCTTGTGGACCGGGAGAGCAGTGGCCAGGAGCATCCGACCGTGGTGTGGGCTTTGCTGGGATAAATCACCAGCTCAACTCAGCAAAGACAAATAAGCCCAGCACTGATATGTCGGCTTTTCTGCTTTGGTGTCGGGCACAGTGCACGGTTCCCCAGGTACCACAGGGCACCTGGCACACATGGGAGCGAGGCTTATCCAAGGGCCCTGAGCCGATGGGCATGGAGCTACTTTTCATCTTGCAGGAGCTTAGCTAATGTGAAGAAGGATAGAGGCCTAGAAAGAAAAACCCTGGTCAGAAGTCCCCGACAATGTAGACAGGTGACAAGGACATACCTGACGTTTCCTTACTGTTTTACAATTCTTATAACCCCTTGAAGGGATGGAGATTATCATTATCATTTTGTGGAAGAGAAACAGACCCTACCGGGCTCGTTCAGGCAGCGGGAGCTGGAGGAGGAGCCCAGCCCTGCCCTCTGGCCTGGAGCTCAGTGCTCTTACCGCTTCTGAATCCCTATTGCGTGTCCACGACACCAAATTCCAAGTTATAGGCAAAGCTCTGCATAGAACTAGGGTTTTTGAAGGTGTCTTTGTACTAAACTGTAGCTTTGTCCTAAGAAAATTCTTTCCAAATAACAGAATTAGTTCTGTATACAGAGCGACAATGCCACTGGCTTCTTTAACTCCAACTGAGTAACAGAAGTTTAGACAGAGGTCCGCTAAAATCATCAGGCTGAGGTCCCTCATTTAACACCTGAGGGAACTGAAGCCCAGGGAGCGACTCACCCAAGACCACAGGGAGGGTCAGGAGCAGAGCCAGAGCCAGAGGGGAGACCCGATTTCCCGTCTGGCCCAATTCCTGGTGGAGAGTGACGGTATTATGATACTTCTGAAATATCTCCCACCCCGCTTCCCCAGGGACAGTGCCGCAGACCCAGCAAGCACTGTTTCTCTGATCACACCCTGTGCACAACTGTTCAAACCTACACCCAACAATATTTTTCTTTTTAAAGTAAACAAAAGTTATATAAATATCCAGTGAACACCTTTGGAAGTTTTAACACTGTTGAATCTCAGTAAGCAGCTTTGTTAGAGAGAAAACAATTAGCTTGGTTAATGTTTTAATAGCTGCAATTGGGTGCTCTTGTCATGGGCTACATCACACACACACACACACACACACACACACACACACCTGCAAGTTACACGTAAGGGGTGATCAAACTATGTGGGGGAAACTTAAATGTTTTTAAAGTTATTATAGCAAGAGACACATTGCCATATTCACCCCGTCAAAATCCTCTCCCTCACTTTGGACAGACTTGTCCCCAAGTTCCTGCCACTTTTCTGAAGCAGTTCTAGAGGTCCCCTCTTGTGTGTGTCTTTATGAAGTGTGACTGACAGTACAGTCAGTGGGGCCGGGGATTTAGCTCAGTGGTTCTGGAGCCTGCCTCGAAAGTACAAGGACCCGAGTTCCATCCCTGGCACCAAAAGAAGAAGAAAAAGAAAATACAGTCGATGCTGCTCCCAACTTCCCCACAACAGAAGGGAGGGTTTGTAAAAAGACCAGTGTGCTCAGTGATTCGCCAGATCTGGCACTGTGTGACTTCTGGTTCATCTCCAACGTCAAAATGACCTCCAAAGGTAAACGTATTGAATCAGCTCAGGACACTGAGGCAGCCACCACAACAGAAAGAAAAAAAAAGTCAAACAAATAAACAAACGAAAACAACATGAATGAGAACTTCCAGATGTGCTTCAGAAAGTAGTAAGAATAATGGGGCAAGTGTGTGCAAAGTGAGAGGGAGGACTTTGAGCAGGATTAATGGTGATGTGTCTTTTACTGTAATGTTTTTTAATTTAAACATGCACTGTATTTTCCCGTTGTTTGTTTGTTTGTACCAGGGATGGAACTCAGGACCCTGTGCTTGTGAGGCAGGCACGGTGCCACTGAGCTAAATCCCCAGCACCAGCAGTGTATTTTCCAATCACACCCTTGTCTATGGCTCTGGGCACTGAGGAGCAAAATAATTGTGCCACTGATGATTATTATGAAATATGTCCCGTACTTGCCTTTCGGGCACACGAATAATGACTGTGGTTGTGAATACAGTCCCAAGCATGAATCTGCTCACCTAAAATGACGGTTGTTGCATTTGAGGAGAAATGATCTAATATTCATACTAAGAAAAGATGTGCAACCGACACTCTTCACATCTTCAGATGCGGGAAGCTTGAGTGGAGCGCTAAGACCTGTTCGGAATCCTCACATTAGGCGTTTGAGCCTTGCCTGTTCCCACGTCACTCTTTCAAGGTGGACAGTCCCAATGTGTCAAAGCTCAATACAAAGGCCAGGGATTTAGCTCAGTGGTTCCCACTCCTGCCTCGAAAGTGCAAGGACCTGAGTTCGATCCCCAGTACAAAAAAAAAAAAAAAAAAAAAAAACACCTCAATATAAAAGGCACCGGTGATAAAAAAAAAAAAAAAAAAAAAAAAAAAAAAAAAAAAAAAAAAAAAAAAAAAAAAAAAAAAAAAAAAAAAAAAAAAAAAAAAAAAAAAAAAAAAAAAAAAAAAAAAAAAAAAAAAAAAAAAAAAAAAAAAAAAAACAAAAAAAAAAAAAAAAAAAAAAAACACCTCAATATAAAAGGCACCGGTGAAACTGGTCAGACTCTTACTACAAACCTTCCATGCTCGTACCTAATACGCGCTCAGGCCACACACGCTGATTCAGCTCTCATGTCCCACTGCAGAGCGGCTGCCTGTGCTGAGGACCTCAAGCCCGGGAGCCCCGAGGGCAAAGCCAGGTGTGTCCAGCGGAGTAATCCGGGCCTGTGTTTTGCAGATAGTGGACAGCAAGATGGCCAATGCCCACATCCTGGTTCTCATCGACAACGCCCGCATGGCGGTGGATGACTTCAACCTCAAGTGAGTCTCTCCCGCTCGGAGTTGTGTGAGGCTGGGGTTTTCTTCGCTTTACGAAACGAAAATTCGTCTTCCTGCGACCCACAGCTAGAATCTGGCTGAATTGTAGTGAAAAGAAGCAGCAACCACAAACGCCGTGGGTAGGACTCAGATGTGCAGGACTCAGAGGTGCTCTAGTGTGAAGAACCCAGATACGAAGCACCTGTACCTGCGGGGAAATGTGCGTAGGAATCAAGAGCTCGGTGATAGAGAGGGATTATTGGTTTTTAGCTCGGATAACTTTATTGTCCTTACTTAGAAAAGTATCTTTTTCTTTTTTTTGGGGGGGTACCAGGGATGGAACTCGGGTCCTTGTGCTTGCAAGGCAGGCCACCGAACCCCTGAGCTAAATCCCTGGCTTAAAAAAGTATCTTTTTCTTAATAGATGTGTTCTAAAGGACATAGGGTTAAAATGTCATATACGCTATGCTATATTTTTGCTCTGAAAATCTTAACTTGCGAATGTGCATAAACTAAGTATGGCAAAGTGTTAACGGTGGTTAAACCTAGGAGACAGCTCTGCAGCTGTTTATTGTTCTCTTCTCCCCACTCCGTTGAAAATTAACCACCCTGGAAAAGCATCACAGCACGGAACAGCCGCAGAGGACGCCCTCTCTGTCCGTGTGCTCTGATTAAACTTAAGAGATTGGCCTCAGGACCCAGGCGAATCCTGAGCCCGCGGCCCCCCAGAAGCAGCTGTGCTCTTCCTCCCTTCTAAACAAAGGTACGAAAATGAGCTCTCCCGAAAGAAAGACCTGGAAGTTGAAGTCGAGGCCCTGCGAAGGACCCTGGACGACCTGACCATTGTCACAACGGACCTGGAGCAGGAGGTGGAGGGGATGAGGAAAGAGCTAATCCTCATGAAGAAGGGACACGAGCAGGTAGGACTGGCCCGGGGTCCCAGGAACAAGCTCAGCTAGTGAGGTGCACGGGTGGGGACGTTCGGTTCAGCTACAGAGGAATCGGGCACCTGAATGCTGCCCTAGCGTCCTCCACCCAAAATCACAGAAATACCTAACTTTTCCCAGCTCAGGGTCATCTATTCCAATGTCAAACGCAACCACCAAGTCGCAAACATCACGAACGGTGAATTGGCCGCCCCTTTTGCTGACACACAGTGTTTACCTGGGCTTGTGGCTTAATCTATTACCATGCCAAAAATTGTGACTGCCGAGTTTCCTGCACTTACCCAGCGCACAGCCAACTGTGGGACCACAGAACAAAGAGAATCCACTGAGAGCCAAAGTAAATATGGCTGGTGGCAAAAATTAAGAATCTTGATTTCCAGAAGCATTTACCATTCATCTCAAGGAGCCGAGGCTGATAAAACGATAGAAAAACAATCCCCATTTTAGGCAAATGCAAGTTGCTTCTAAACATCAAAGAGCCCAGTTTCTGAATAGCTGGTTAGACGATGTTGTTAATTAAACCTTTCCTGCCCGTGCTTGGTTTTCATGAAATCCTACAGGCGTCACAGCCCTACAGAGGCATAAGGCTCGAGATTGCAAAACCTTCTCCACCTTTCGGCTTTTCCTTAATGAACTGCTTTCCAAAAGCTTTGGCCTAAAACCCAATATTTGCGACTGTTTCTTTGAAAAGCGGATTCACCAAGAAAAATTTTCTAGACAGAAACATACACTGTGCTAGCATAACTGTGTCTGAAATATTTAAAACCAGGGCTTAAATTAGGAATCAAAGAAGCCACATGAGTACCTGTCTTTACGACTTTTTATAAAACTATTAGAGAAAAAAAGCATAAAATTGCTTTATCCAAAAGTAGTGACGGAAAAAGCAGACTAGACCAGGGAAAGCCTTCACCCCACCTCAGGTTTTTCAAGGATCCATTCAGTGCCGCCAATCAACACAACAACGCCGGCTTCTGTCCGTCCAGGCTGACCTGTTCTGCTTTCTGTCCTGTGGAGCAGGCGGTGGAGGGGCACCCGGTGCCTGATGACTTCAAGGTCAGTGTGAAGGTGAACGCGACGCCTGGAGAAGATCTGACCAAGGTCTTGGAGGACATGAGACAGGGTTACGAGTCTGTGATGAGGCAGAAGCAGAACGACTGGGACTCTTGGTTCCGGGAGCAGGTGAGAGAGGCGGGAGACCCCCTGGATGCGCCAGTTCCCCGGATGGCACTGCTGACGCCTCTCCCTGTGCCTGGCCTCCCAGTCAGCGGCCACGTCCCACGAGGTGCCCAGACCCGCCGCCGTGCAGGGCAACCAAGGCGACGTCCATGAGCTCAAGCGCACTTTGCAGGCCCTGGAGATTGATCTGCAGGCACAGCACGACAGGGTGAGTGGGAGCTCGGGAAATCCTGAGTCCCGTGGCGCCTCTCTCTCCGGCCGCACTGTTCCTGTTGGGCACAGAGCCGAGCGCCCCACCCCTCGTGTGTAGAGGACACCAGCTCATTCTATTAAGTATTCACAGCACCTCTCCAGGTAGGTCTTTGTGCCCCCATCTTAGAGACGAGGAAACAAAAAGTGAAGGAAATCGGCCAGGGTCACACAACTGGTCAGTTACCGGTGGGGAAGCCATGAGAGTCTGGGGGTGGCAGTTTCTGGACCCCCTGGGATTCTCCACCTTCCATCTCCACTGTGGACAAACCCCGGTGCCAAGGAGGTAGGCGGTGAAGCCAGGCCGGGCTCGATTCCTGGTGTCTGCGTCCCGTCACCCAGCAAACGAAGTTCTTGGGTCTAAGTCACTCCAGCCCATCTTCACTGTTGAGCAAAACTCCTTGCAAGGGTGACACAGCACTCACAGTTCCCTGGATGCCACTATGGCTCCCTTCCTAGCCCACGGGACCCTCCGGTCTGTCACCAGCTCGCTTCTGAGCACTGCTCTCCCCTGGGTCTTGAGAGGACGACACAACCAGCTCATTTGTGCTGAGGGGCACAGGGTGAATGGTGTTGTTCCGGTGTACAAGTCAGAGATGGTGAACGGGCACTGAAAATGTGCACTGTCAAGGTGACCATAATGAGCACAGAAACTACCACGGTGCTTTATTCTACACTTTTGGGGGGGCACTGGGGATTGAATTCAGGACCTTATGCTTGTGAAGCTGACAGCGGAGCCACTGAGCCCTGCTCTATTCTGTGCTGTAAAGACACCGTGATCTGCTTGCGTCGCACCCCTCCGGGACGCAGCAAGGCACGAGGGCCCCCTTCTGTGCTTTTGCTGTCCTTAACACTGACAGCTGGGTAAGGCAGGAGCGAGGGGCACAGGCGCAAAGGCGGGAATCCTCGAAGTACGATAGCACGTTAGGCAGAGACCACGGCCGCAAGAAGGGCAGCGCAGGAGGAGGTGAGGGAGGAGAGCGAAGGAAGGGCCGCTCAGGACGGGCTCTGCTGTTTAGGTGAGGGCTGAGCAAAGCCCCCGCGCTGCCTCCCTCGGGGGATTTCCATGCGGCCAGGGACAGACTGGAAGCACTAGGCGGCAGAGAGCAGTCCGGAGCCGGAGGGTTGCCCGATCCCACAGCGCGGCCTGTCCCCCCACCCCGCCCGCCCGCCAAGCAGCGGCCCCCAGCTCTGGGGATGCGTGACAGGGCCTCGATGCCCGAAGTCCGCGCTCTGACACCCAAGCCCCCAGCTCCCAGCTCACTTAGCACCGCGGTCGGCCCATGCTCAGCAAGCCCACTCCGCTGGAGCAGTCGGCCCGTCCGCGCCCCAGCCAAGACGGGCGCTTCCTCTTCAGAAATCCGCTCTGGAGAGCACGCTGGGGGAGACCCAGTCCCGGTACTCCTGCCAGCTCCGGGACGTGCAGCTCCTCATCTCCTGCTACGAGAAGGAGCTGCTGCAGCTGAGCCACAACCTGGAGCGGCAGAACAGCGGATACCAGGCGCTGCTGGGCGTCAAGACCCACCTGGAGAAGGAAATCGCCACCTACCGCCGGCTCCTGGAGGGCGACCGTGAGGGGTGAGGCCTGGGCACAGGAGAGGGGCGCACGAGGGGGGCAGCTGGGGGTGTGCGGAAGTGTGTGTGCCTCGGGGGCTCGAGCTACCGAGCGGCTCTGGATGGACAGAGGCTGATGTCGATTTTCTCTGAAGTCGTCTATGTCAGCCAGCCTGAGCTAATAGGCTGTTACTGCCTGGGCGCTAAGACCTGCTCCCAGGACAGTTAAAAAGAGCATATCAAAGTCTCTAGGAAAGAGGAACAGCAGCCTGAAAAACGTAGAGGGACTTTTTTAAATGAACAGCAAGGAAAGATTCCTAAACTATAAGGATGCCTAGACTTCTGGTTTGATATTCTGACCGCCCTAGGAAATCACAAGAGCCGGCTGTAGAAAGAGCAGTACATTCCATGAGGCAAAAGAAAGCAGTAGAAAGTTTTTCCAAATCCATAAATGAAACATCCTGGGACCAAATGCAGCCCAGCCTGGGAAGCTCTGGGGTTCCAGGCTTGAGACCCCAAACCTAGAAGGGATCCTGGTGGGGAAACTCCCACCGCAGGCCGCAGGGAGGAGGATGGTTCGGAAGGACTCTCTTGCCCAAGGTTGGGAGCAGGCCGCCCTCTCTGCCTTCTGGACCCCGGTTCTCCCTGAACCTGTGACCTTGCCCCTACCCAGCTCCGACAATTATTTTCATGAAAGAGTTGAGAAATTACAAGCAGCACAAGGAGGCTGGCGCATCCTGAGAAGGGGTGCCTGCTGCCAGTACTAAAGGGAGCTAACGTTTCTCCTTTTCCTAGGGCAATGGAAGAATCTGGATCCGGCATAGAAGGTAAAACAATCGCTTTCATTTGTTTGGGTGTACTTCGATGCATTTATTTTTTTTTTTAATGCCCTGGCATGCTTATCCAAGCTGTAGCAGTCATGACCCTTGCTGTACCCCATGTCCCGTGTTCAACTTTTATTTTGCTCCCAGGTGGCCAGGAGTTTTCCACTCATTAAACAAGTTAGGGACAACAGAACTCACAGCTGTCCGCACTCTTGCAGGTGGGGTACTCCTTACCCACAGTGCCTGCGGTCAGAAGCCTCTCTGATTTCAGATTTTTTTTTTTTTAATCTTCATTACACACAGGGAGCTATCTTGAGGATGAGAACCAAGCCTAAACATGAAATTCCTTTATGTTTTGTGCACACCCTGTGGGTGATTTCACACGGTGATTTATGAAGCAAAATTGAAGGCTGTGGAATTTTCCACTTGCACCATCTCGGCAGTCCTCAGAAAGCTTTGGATTTGGGAGTAATTTATATTTCAGACTTTCAGATGAGGGATGCTCAGCACGTATGTGGCAGTTCTAAGCCAACGGCAATGTAGATTTAAATGGTAAATAATAATATTATGTCCCTACTAAGTAATGGATGCTATTTCCTATACTCCTAAGGGATTAAATCACATCATTTCCCATCGGTTCTGTTGCACACCAGGGTTCTGTGAGGCCCGAGTAGTGTGTTAGGAAAGATGTGTTCGAAGGTCACAGAAGGCTGGAGCTGATCTGCACCAATATCCTCTCACTGAAGGGTCAAGGTGCCTTTCAGGGTGCTCAAGATTGAAGAAGTGCTTCTGTGTGGAAGAAAGGTCAAAGGCAGAGAAAAAAACAGCAAAAGCTCTCCTCTGCTTCACCTGGTATTCCCAGACGCCTTCAGTGTTTTCCCAGTGCAAAGTTCTGCAAGAGCCCAGTCAAGACCAAGGGGCAACCTCCTGATGAGTTTGTGATAAAAGTGTTCTCGGGCTTTAGCAAGTCACAGAAGCAGAGTTGGACCCATAGCTGCAGAAAAGTTGGTCTATATTTGTGCAAAATCCAACAGCTGGCCCTTCCTCTCCTCACCTAAGTCTAGGGATGGGAAACGTAGTAAGTTATGAGGTCATCCAATCTCAAGCTTGATTTTAATAGAACTTTCCAATGTACCTCTGTTTTTGGTGTCAGCTCTTCCCTAGGTTTCAAAATTGGTTTACTGACATGTCTGCGAGACACTTACTCAAATAACAGCAATCAGGATAAACATCCTGGCCTCTCACCCATCCACATGGCATGCTTTCTAGATCTTAAAATAAGGTGTTCCAAATGGCATGCAGCCCTCTTAAAGATCGTAGACTCTGTGACACAAGAGACACACACAGCCCACAGGGGCAGAAATCACTCCTCGGGGGCTGTAGCCAGAGACCAGCATCTGCATGAGGGACAGCTAAAATGCCATTGTTCACAGATTTTCATTTCCTGGAAGGTGGAGGGAAAGTCCTCTGTGGTTAGTTCCCTGTTCTCTGGAGCAGAGTTGGCCATACTGCTCAGTGATCGTTTTGGAGGTACAATAAAGCTTCAGGGACAGTGTCGAGGGAACCAAACAGAAATACAGCTCAGATGGTGGGGAAAGCATGGCAGTGACTTCTTTCGTGCTCTTTCCCACAGAATCTGCAGCTCCTAAGATCAAGGCCATCACTCAGGAGAGTGTCAATGGAAGAATAGTTTTTTCTCAAGTGAATGAGATCCAAACACATGCATGAGGCCAATAAAAGTTTCTGCCTGTTGTAAAAACTACCTTTCCTCAACGGAAGTCCTTGTCTAGACACTGGTGGGTGAGTCCTAAAAGGTATCCTTGGAGTTATCAGCTGAGAAACTTTCACTATTTTTCTCTGTAACAATCTCATCCAACTTCCCCTAATGCTTTTGATATACGGTTGAACTTTTCCAGTCTAAGTATAAATGTATGAGTTGAAAGTTCTATCGCCTACTGTGGTCTTCAGATTCCCATCAATGTGCATGTGGTTTGTCACCAATAAAACTGTACACACACCATGCTGTCTTTTCTTGTGTTGCAAAGCAAGACAGGGCCTCAGGGTCTCGTTGGCTGCAAAGGTTCTGAGAGCACTGTTCGTGACCATCTGTCTATCTACCAAGACATCACCAGAATGCCGTCCATGGGATGGCAGGATATTGACAACTTCAGTGACCAGAGGCACAAGACAGTCAAAAACCTCCCATTTTAGAGACAAATAAACTGAGCCCCAGAGCAGTAAAGGGATTTACTCAGCACTTGCTGAATTGGTGCCACTGGGTCTAATCTGGGTCATTGGCTCTTACAACAGCTGTCACACTAAAAGTCTGTGTCATTGAGCTTCGTTGCCATGGAATATCTTTAAATCTGTATCTAGTGCTCTCTCAGAAGGGATTGCTTTTCATGTTTTCTGAAGTGGACATCTGTTAAAACTGGGTTCATCTCCCCTTTAAGGCAAAAACTGATGTTTCTTATACTTAAAGAATAGAAAAGCAGCCCCTAGAAATCAGAATTAGGCAGAAGAACCCAGGATAACCACATCATTTTCAAAAAAAAAAAAATAAGTACTCATCAAAACTTATATAAAATGGTATTAAACTATAAATTCATCTTCACTGTGTGGCTATCTCAAAGTGACTCAAAAATCACATACATAAATGGCATCAGTGAGGTCTCTCTGTGTGGTATCAGTCTGAGGCGATTTGGGGTGTTATTTTGGGCAAAAATGTGCCTAAATTAATTTCATGAATGCTCTTTTCCTATTTTTTTAATGAGAGCTTCTTTATATTAAGAAGGTACTGTAATCTCCAAGCAAGTCCCAAATAAATTTTTCTCTGTTTTAGCACTCATTTCTTTATACTATTGTCTACATCTCTTTCTTGAAATCTAAGTGCACATAAAATATACAGACAGCCCTCTGAATCTTCTGGTTTCCCATTCATGATTCAAACAAACCTAGATTGGCATCCTGGAAAAACTGCATCTGTACTAAGGATGTACAGATTTCTTTTTCTTGTTGCCATCCCCTAAACAGTACAGTAAAGCAACTATTTACACAGTGTTTACACTGTGTTAAGTGTGGAGAAACCCCAGGAGTGGGAGGTGTAGAGGACAATGTACAAATAATCACTAACTTTCCATCTATAATCGTAGTTTATGTAAGACTTGGTGAGAGTCAAGCCTTTGAATAATTTTTCATTCAAGCAAATAAAATCTCCTTAAAATCTTAATCTTTACCTTAGCAGTTTAGCTGTGAGACTTGTGGCTGATTTCCCAAGACCTGAGGTCCACACAAGTCAGATCTGCTGGGCACTCTGCCAGTACAAAGTCGCTTCTGTTTTACTAAGAAAAGACAAGAAGAGAGAAACTAATCCATTTGAATAAAGAGACAACTGCTTAAGTTTCGGCTTTAAGTAACAGAGTGACTTTTCTCCCACATTCAAGTCAGCCCCAAAACCTTTCAAAAGACCCATTATAAATCAATTCATGCTATGTGTCCGGGCAAGTTACCAACAAAAGACGTTCCTGTTCATGTTTGGCTTTGACAGACATACACCCAACCCGGATAAAGGAGGTGGTGAGAAATTCTACCGTTTTCATTCCAAACATATTTTGAATAAATAGTAATTATCTTTCTATGACCCATAAGTCGATGAGGAAAATACCTGGCTGGTCCAAAGAAGTATCAAATGCTAATATTTATATCCACATATTTACTCACAGCATTATAATATGGTTTGAGTATATAGATCTATGAGATACTGTTCAATCCTGTCAAATAGAGGGGATCAAAATATATGGCAAATAGTTAATCACGGTATCATATGCAACTTCAAACCCCAAAAATACCAGCATTAGAGGAAAATGCAGCATGCACCTGATTAAGAGATTCCGTTGAAGAGGTAAAGAGGCTAACTTCAAGAACGGTTACCCAAGCTCTCCTGTTTTGCTGTATCTTAACACAAGGAAAAATCAGAATGGAAAAAGCATCGTATGTTTTTGAAAACTCATAATAAGCTGAGAACAATGTTTTGTGTGAACTATTGAAAAATCAAAACACGGTCTGCACTCTTAAATGGAAAACAACATAAAAAAGCCAACAATTTCGTTAGTGAATTAACCCTGAGATGGGACGAAAGCTTGACTTTTTGTTACTGCTGTTTTCTTCCTGGAGGGACGTAAACTATTCAGCATATTTTTAGCAAACTATCTCTAGCACAGAGATTTTAAGATGCGCTTTATATGAAATCATACAGCATACCACTTTTTTAAAAATAGCACATTTACAGGCTGGGGATTTAGCTCAGTGGTGCCACTGCCTGCCTCGCAAGCGCAGGGTCCCAAGTTCGATCTCTGGCATCAAAAGAAAGAAGAAAAAGAAAATAGCATATTTCCATCCTTTTATGGGCGCTAAGCAACACCGTACTGTACTCACACAGAACCCTGTTGCTGTTTCACAGTGGAAAACGGATGCTAAATGGTTATTTTCTGAGCGAGCCCAGATGTAGGTGGCTCCCTGCAAACACACAGCCAAGCTCATGCTTTTCCATAGCAGGTCTCCTGTGGACCCGGCCAGTGCCTCGATGTGACCGGGGGATGTCAGCAGGCTGGCTCCAGCGGAGACCTAAGGAAGGCAGGAGCTGTCCCAAGGCACAGCTGACACATGATTCGGACGGGAGCCACCCCAGCCAGGCCTGAGCCGTCCCACCCGCTACTGGGCCCAGACCCTGCCCCCACAGAACACAGACAGCTTTCCTCACAGTCTGACTGAAATTCTGAGCCAAAGAACTGGGCACAAATAAAATGGTGGTTGGTTTAAGCCAGTAAGTTTTGGACTGGGTTTTTTTTGTTTTGTTTTGGTCTGGTTTGGTTTAGTTTGGTTTGGATTTTTTTTTTTTTTTTGGCTTTTTGTTTATGTAGCAAGGGATGAGTGAAACAGAGTAGCTTAAAACAAAACAAAAAGACTATTATCTGCCTAGGGACAGTAGATGATCTCAAGATAAAACGTCCCTTTGCATCCCAACAAACTGACAGGGATTTTTAGCAACTTCAACATTAAAATGGACCTTTACAGAAATTCTGATGTCAGTACCACGAAAGAAGCCTCAACACTTCTAAGCAGACTAGCCCAGGCCTCGCCCTCAGAGACTGCAGTGTGCGAGGCGGTGGCCGTGTCTCGCCACCCATGGGGACCAGCAGGTGGCTCTGCCCAGGGGGGACGGAGGAGCTGAGTTGGGTTCCCTCTGACTCCATCTCAAGTTCCTCATTCCAAGGACATGAACTGTCCGTCTCCCTAGAGATACAGTATCACCCGGGTGGAGAGTTTCGCTGAAAGGTGATCTGGCTTCCAGGTAGGTGAGCAAGTCCTCCCTCACCCAGACGACCACATCTCCCCAGGAAGGGCGCCGCTGAGGGTCAGGAAGCGCCCAGCCCCGGTTCTGCTGTCGCTCAGACCCCGGGACACAGCTCGTCCACTGGAGGCGCGTTTCCTCCGGGCGCTCAATTTCCAATGCCATACTTTTTAATCAATAACTGCTTTCCAAATGCTTGGTCTTAACACGTACGTGCCCCGAGTGTCAGGACTGTCCAACAAGGTGGGCTTTGTGACTTCACCGCGTGCCTGCCTTCACCCCAGGTGCACCACTCATGCCGTCCCCTTCTGTTACAACATCTTCGTGCCACCCGCTCCCTGAGGAGGATGAGAGTTCCTAAAATATATTTGCATTGAGGTCACGCAAGAAAGGAAAAGACAAAGCCTCTCCCAACCTCATGATCTAATGACCTAGTAATCAAAGTCAGAATGTGTGTGTGCACATGTGTGTAGGTGTGCAAACATTCCAATACTTGGGTTGTCCTACTCCCCAAAACTTCCCTTTGAAATTTAAATGAGAACCCATCTACTAGAACTACAAGTCATCTAATAAAAATTGTAAGTCAGTTTATGCTCATTTCAAGGTTTGTGTACACAACACTCATGCGTGTGACCGGCACACGCACGGACTAACAACTATTCTTAACTGGGCTCTCCCTTCATGGTCTTGTTTAACCGTGGTTACGAGCCCTACAGGGGACTCTTGCCATCATTTTAGAACTGAGCAGACTGAGGCTTAGGTTGTAACAGAGGAACTTCTGCGCCTATGGTCACAGAGCTTTAAAACGGTGGACCCAGCAGCAGGAGGAGGAAGAGGAGGAGGAGACAGTGATGACGAGGGGACGTAACAACGGGCCGGGCCACTGTCACACAAGATATTTCCAGCCATCCTTAGCAGGAAGTGTTTTATCTGGAGACTGACCACAAACACAGGCCGTAAAGGTTTTCATCCACGTCACTAGCACCTCAGGAAGCGTCCCTTCCCCGTCACGGCCCAACCGCGAGTCTTCCATGTCAAGTGTCTCCAACCCTGTGTGCCTACGAGTAACCCAGGGCTCTTGTGAAAGAGCAGATCTCAATCTGGTAGCTCTGGGTGCAGCCTGAGATTCTGCATTTCTGAGAAGCTCACGGCTGACGTGAGCCATGAGCTACATTTTGAGTCGCAAAAGCAGTGATTACAGATGATTCTGACCCACGGGCCATTTGACAGTCGCATCGGCAAGCCGGCCCAGGTGAATTCCGTCAGCACTGGGAGAACAGGGCAGGAGATGTGGAGTGGTTACCGTCCCATCGGCGTAGCCCTGCTCAAAGCAAGCCAACCCTTCAGAGCACAGGTTGCGGGAGGCCTTGCAAGAGGTTGTTTCTCGGCTTCCCGCCCAGAGTGGGAGGCAGAACAGAGTCTGGAAATTGAGATCTGGCTCCTCTTTCCAAATTCTCCCTGCATGCAAGGCCTCGCGCAAGCCGTAAGCAGTTCACAGCTGATCAGAACCAATAGAGGGGGTGAAGTCACCTGTGCCGCGTTGTCCACCGTATGAACAAGCACAGCCCTGAAAACTACGTCTCTGGGCCGGGATGTAGCTCAGCGGTGCCACCTGCCTCGCAAGCGCAAGGAGCCAAGTTCGATCCCCTGTACCAAAAAGCAA